CGGACATCAACCAAATCTTTCAGTGGGCTGCAGAAAACAATATGAAGTTCAACGATGAGAAATTTCAATTACTCAGATATGGTAAACATGAGGAAATTAAATCTTCATCAGAGTACAAACAAATTCTGGCCACAAAATAGAGCGAAACACCAACGTCAAAGACCTGGGAGTGATCATGTCGGAGGATCTCACCTTTAAGAACCATAACATTGTATCAATCGCATCTGCTAGAAAAATTCCAGGATGGATAATGAGAACCTTCAAAACTAGGGAGGCCTAGCCCATGATGACACTCTTCAGGTCACTTGTTCTATCTAGGCTGGAATATTGCTGCACACTAACAGCACCTTTCAAGGCAGGTGAAATTGCCGACATAGAAAATGTACAGAGAACTTTCACGGCGCGCATAACGGAGATAAAACACCTCAATTACTGGGAGCGCTTGAGGTTCCTAAACCTGTATTCCCTGGAACGCAGGAGGGAGAGATACATGATTATATACACCTGGAAAATCCTAGAGGGACTAGTACCGAACTTGCACACGAAAATCACACTCACTACGAAAGCAAAAGACTTGGCAGACGATGCACCATCCCCCAATGAAAGCAGGGGTGTCACTAGCACGTTAAGAGACCATACAATAAGTGTCAGGGGCCCGAGACTGTTCAACTGCCTCCCAGCACACACAAGGGGGATTACCAACAGACCCCTGGCAGTCTTCAAGCTGGCACTGGACAAGCACCTAAAGTCGGTTCCTGATCAGCCGGGCTGTGGCTCGTACGTTGGTTTGCGTGCAGCCAGCAGCAACAGCCTGGTTGATCAGGCTCTGATCCACCAGGAGGCCTGGTCACAGACCGGGCCGCGGGGGCGTTGACCCCCGGAACTCTCTCCAGGTAAACTCCAGGTAAACTCCAGTGAGTGCGCACACCCATTCTCTCATGTCTAGGTGACTCAGGCTTATTGTGGCAATGTTGAATGACAAAGAAAACGTATATATACGTTTGGGGCGCTACACTCGTGAACGTATATATACGTTTGGACCGTTTAAGGGTTAAGGGTTAACAAATTCTTCGAATCTTCTACCTTCCCTACAGTTCTCAAAATAGTGAGGGTCACCCCGATACATAAAGGAGGAGATCAAACAGACTTGAATAACTATAGGCCAATATCCAACTTACACCCTCTCTCTAAAATCTTTGAAAAATTATACACAAATAACCCACACATAAAAGAGAGAAGTTTACGACGACGTTTCGGTCCGACTTGGACCATTTACAAAGTCACACTAACCAGAAGTGGAGCAGGACGGCTATATATAGGCAGGAAGAGGTGGAGGTAGTAGTAGTAGTAGTAGTAGTAGTAGTAGTAGTACAAGAATGGTATATAATACCGACAAGATGAAATTAAGACACATGCGCACCACCCGGGCATCTCTATATACCATTCTTGTACTACTAGTACTACTACCTCCACCTCTTCCTGCCTATATATATAGCCGTCCTGCTCCACTTTTGGCTAGTGTGACTGTAAATGGTCCAAGTCGGACCGAAACGTCGTCGTAAGCTTCTCTCTTTTATGTGTGGGTTATTTGTGTATCGTTCCAGTCACGGTATTGTGCCTTTTTTTATTTGAAAAATTAATTTGTAAGCAAATCTATTCCTGCCTCATCTCCCACAACACACTCAACCCCTGTCAGTTTGGGTTCCGGCCTAATAAAAATATGAATGATGCTATTATACACATGCTAGAAGAAATATACACTGCACTCGAGAAAAAAGAAGTTTCATTGGGGATCTTCATTGATTTATGTAAAGCTTTTGATACAGTTGACCATGATGTGCTGCACATAAAATTGTCACACTATGGTAAAAGAGGGCACTCCCTCAACTACCTAAAATCATGCCTTAGCAACAGAAGCCAAAATTTGTACACAAATGGAGCAAACTCTTCCACACAGCCAGTTACAATTGGTGTCCCACAGGGAAGTGTCCTTGGCCCTCTTCTCTTTCTCATTTACATAAACGACCTAGCAAATGCATTGCAACTACTCAAACCCACACTATTTGCAGATGACACTACATATGTATTCTCTCACCCAAGCCCAGTCATGCTAGCCAATACTGTAAATACTGAATTACAGAAAATATCTACCTGGATGATGATTAACAAACTTTCTCTCAATATTGGCAAAACCTACTTCATTCAGTTTGGTAACAGAACTACAGATGTCCCTCTTAACATGATAAACGGATCACCTATCACAAAGCTCACAGAGGAAAAATTCTTAGGAATCCACCTTGAAAATACTCAAATTTCAAACACTTGTACAAGAAATTTCCAAGAAAATCTCCAAGACTGTAGGCATACTATCGAAGATACGGTACTATGTTCCACAATCAGCCCTCCTGGCTCTATATCACTCACTCATTTACCCCTATCTCACCTATGGAATTTGTACATGAGGCTCAACAACAATAAACCATCTCAGACCATTAATTACCCAATAAAAAGGCTGCAGTCAGAATGATGATAAATTCCCACTACAGGCAGCATACTCCACCAATATTCAAAAGTCTAAACTTACTCACCGTACAAAACATCCATACTTATTATTGTGCCTACTACATTCATAGAACACTTAACTCGGATATAAACCCTCCCCTCAAACGTCTCCTTACCAACCTTAACAGAACACGTGACCATAACACAAGGCACAGATCACTCTTTGATGTTTATCGTGTCCATCTCACACTCTGTAAAACTGCAGTGCACATAAAAGGCCCAAAAATCTGGAATTCATTACCTGTGAATACAGTGGACCCCCGGTTAACGATATTTTTTCATTCCAGAAGTATGTTCCGGTGCCAGTACTGACTGAATTTGTTCCCATAAGGAATATTGTGAAGTAGATTAGTCCATTTCAGACCCCCAAACATACACGTACAAACGCACTTACATAAATACACTTACATAATTGGTCGCATTGGGAGGTGATCGTTATGCGGGGGTCCACTGTATAGGTAATCACATCTGTCAGACACTGCAACATCATGGGATCTTGGTACAAAGACTTTAACGCTTGTCCAACCTTTGGACGACGACCTACTTACACTAGTGGCAGGTCCCACTGTGATCCCGCCGCCTCCAGCTTCGACTCGTTTGACTGCAGTATATAGGCCACCTCTCTGGCCCTATGCTGCATTTCCTACAAGAGTGATGGTCTGAACACATCGATTCCAGGTTGAGGGACTGATTACCTCAAACTCCTCTCCTTACCTGTTTCTACTTTGTATTGGACTGATGAAGCCACTGTGTGGCGAAACGCTTCTTCAATAAAGATTCCCGTGTGTTGCATAAGTGTCTCAGTTCTTCAACTTGTCAGTTTTCAAAACCATTCATCACACCTGTCAATATAAAAGAAATACTGTCTGTTTATCAATTCAATACTTACTCACTCACAACTAAATAAGTACTGAATAACTGTAGCTCATAAATGTATAACCTGTGACCCTATCAAACTATGTGTTTTTGTAATTACATTACCTAATAGAATATTCCATTCTCTTGAATGCACAGTAACTCATCAAATGACCATATGACATGTTTCTGCACTACAAATCATTGATCTTATTCGATTTGACTGATGATAATATAAATTGTGCTACAAATTTGTACAACTATAAAGCTTCTTATTTGAAATACTCATTTGCACTTCATGCCGTAATTTATTTAATGTTTACCACTGAATATATCATTGTTTAGTTAATCTTAAGTTAATTTTAAGCCTGCCCACAATGCTCTGCATACAAGAGCCTTTTGACATATACACTCAACCACTGTATTTCATTGTACATCTATGTATCATGTCCAAATAATAATAAATAAATAAATCAAGGCCCTGTCTGAGGTTACTTCCCTTCTTTGTGTTTTACTGGCACTAGGACCAGCTTGAGTCACTGGACCCCTGTCACACAAAAAATCTGCCGAGAGAGGTCTGTGTCTGGTGTTTCTTTAATATTTGCCTAAAATGGGACAGGGCATTGTCATTGAACATGTTGCAGACACGGCTTGCTACAGCTTTGTTAGTGATATTTCTCCACAAAACTCTGCAGCTCATTCCACTTTGCACACGTCTTTAATGACTGAAGAAGGCACATTCTTCCCTCTGTCTTCCTCCTCCTCTGAAGCAATTTCTTCAGCTGCAGTCTGTTGCTGTTCCAGTTGAAGGTCTTGCAGCTCTTCAGTGGTTAGCTCTTCCCTGTGGTCATCCACCAACTCTTCCACATCCTGGCCACTCACATCCAACCCCATAGACACAATAGGTTCCACAATAGGCGTAGGGTTGTCAGGGTCAGCCTCAGGCTCTTCAAAATCCTTCTAGAGGACACATGGTGGCTTATTTAGCATTTGCTCTCAATAAACAAGCACAAAGAACAATGGATTATTACGAAATGTTATCCAAGCGCACAGGGCAGTGTTCACTCAATGAGAAACGAAGCCAGACTGAGTCAGAATGAAAGGGATGCTTTGTGTGGGCGCAGGCAGGTGGACGTGTTTGGTATGGTGGACCATTGTCACCCCTACAAAAACTGAATGAATGTACGAAAACTGGGACAAAATTTTGACGAAAAAAGTTGAAAACCGAATCCTATGAAAACCAGGGCATACGAAAACAGAGGTTCCACTGTATTTAGATGTGGCAGAATAAAGTCCTGTTATTATACAAATTATGAAGGAGGACTTCCCTTATCCTTATTTTCTGCTAGTGTGATATTTTTTGTATGATTTACTCTCAGAAGATAAAACAGGTGTGGATATGTAGTTAAACTTTAAGCAGTGCACTTGAGTGGATAAGTAGTATTTGTATTAAATATATTATACATGAATTTGTTGAAAAGTCCTTAACCCTCCTCCTCCTACCTCTACCTACACATTGCTTAAAAATTTGTCAAATTTAATTTTCGATTTTGCTGTTAATTGTGTAATAATATATTCTGCAGGTTTAGCTGGCCATGTTAACACCTCCATGTGCAGCCGGTGGTGCAGTGCGTCGCGGAGTTCCAGCATATGTATTACTGCGACCCCACCAGCTGCTGCTTCCACTTCCTCCATTGTTGGCTACATAAGGTAAGATTTGAACTTTATATTTCACTGATTGTGAGAGGAAGTTGTGTTGTCTATATATGTGGATATGAGTCTTTCTCTTTGTAGAGTGCTGTATCAGTCAGGCTGTGATGGATATGTGGGTCAGAGGGCCACATGCAGCAACAGCCTGGTTGACCAGGCAAGCACCAAACAAGCCTAAAGTAATAAATTAGGAGAGTTTTGTACACACACTCACTCACACTCTCACTCACACTCTCACTCACACACTCACACACTCACACACACACTCACACACACACACACACACACACACACACACACACTCACACACACACACACACTCACACTCACACACTCACACACTCTCACACTCTCACACTCTCTCACTCTCTCACACACACCACACACACACACACACACACACACACACACACACACACACACACACACAACAACACACACACACACACACACATGGACACACACACACACACACACTCACTCACACACACACTCACACACACAAACTCACACTCACACACACACACACACACTCACACACACTCTCACACACTCTCACTCTCTCACACACTCTCACTCTCTCACACACTCACTCACACACTCTCACACACTCTCACACACTCTCACTCTCTCACACACTCTCACTCTCTCACACACTCTCACTCTCTCACACTCACTCTCTCACACACTCTCACTCTCTCACACACACTCACTCTCACACACTCTCACACACTCTCACTCTCTCACACACTCTCACTCTCTCACACACTCTCACTCTCTCACACACTCTCACTCTCTCACACACTCTCACTCTCTCACACACTCTCACTCTCTCACACACTCTCACTCTCTCACACACTCTCACTCTCTCACACTCTCACTCTCTCACACTCTCACTCTCTCACACTCTCACTCTCTCACTCACACTCTCACTCTCTCACTCTCACTCACACTCTCTCACACTCTCACACACACTCCTCACAACTCACTCTCACACTCACACTCTCACACTCCACCACTCTCACACTCACACACTCACACTCACACTCTCACACTCACACTCTCACACTCACACTCTCACACTCACACTCTCACACTCACTCACACTCACTCTCACACTCACTCACACACTCACACTCACTTTCTCACTCTAACACTCACTGTCACACTGTCACACTCTCTCACACTGTCTCACTCTCTTTATCACTCTCTCTCTCACTCTCTCTCACTCTCTCTCACTCTCACTCTCACTCTCACTCTCACTCTCTCTCTCTCTCTCTCTGTTTTTTTTTGGGGGGGCCTCTGGGCCCAAGGACAACAGACAGTGAAGAGATTGAAGAAAGGAAAGCTGCAATGGAGGCAACTAAATCGAATCAGGGAATACATAGGGATATGCAGTGAGAGGATGAAAGGGAGAGGTCAGTCTTTGTTTATGGGCTCCAGGAAGTTGAAGGGGAAACTTACAAAGGAAGAAGACAAGGGGAGAAAAATGCAGTTGAAAGCATCATAAAAAAATAGGAGAAGATGACATGACCCAGCTGGCAAATTTTCTGAGAATAGGGGGGTTTGCAAGAACAAGAACCCGGCCAGTCAAAGTGACTTCCAAGGCAGAATCGACTGAAGCAGGATCCAGCAGGAGAAAGCAAGACTAAGGGACATGCCGGCATACCAAAAGGTGTATCTCGACCGCGACAGAACACGAGAAAAAAGGCAGAAATTGAAAGAGATGGTGCAAAGACGAAAGGAGGAGAGAGAGGTGAAGATGGAGAGGGACAGGAGAACCCAGACTCAGGAGGAAGATCAATTACAGCCCCCTAACCAGGACAACCCCAATGCAACCAAACATTCTAACCCAAAACACACGTGCCATTTCCAATGCCCCCACCCACCTCATTACAAACTCCACCCTCACAGCAACCACCCATAGTTCCTTATCAGGTCTCCTACTTCCACAACCCAACGTACCCCCAGACCACAGTTTTAGAAAAGAAGTTGAAGGTTTGGTATACAAATGCAGACAGAATAACAAATAAGTGCGAGGAGTGGCACGAAAGAATAGAGGAGACATCCCCTGTCATAATAGCATTCAGAGAAACGAAACTCACCAGGATAACAGATGCAATCTTTCCACCCGGATATCAAATCCTCAGGAAAGTTAGAGGGAGGAGAGGGGAAGGAGTTGTTGCACTGCTCATTAAAAACAGGTGGGGATTTGAGGAAATGGAAGGAATGGATGGAATGTGCGAAAGTGACTACTTAGTAGGAACAATCCAATCTGAGGGCCATAAGGTGATAATTACAGTAATGTACAACCTGCCACAGAACTGCAGGAGGCCAAGAGAAGAATACAATGAGAGCAACAAGGCAATGGTCGACATACTAGCCGATGTGGCCAGGAGAGCTCACATGGGGGGAGCAAAGTTACTAGTTATGGGTGATTTCAATCGCAAGGAGATTGACTGGGAAACCTGGAGCGCCATGAGGGTCCCGAAACATGGAGAGCCAAGATGATAGATGTGGTACTGGAAAACCTCATGCATCAACATGTTAGAGACACTACCACAGAGAGAGAGGTGAGTATGATCCAGCAAGACTGGACCTAGTATTCACCTTTAGTAGTTCGGACATCGAGGATATCGTATATGAAAGGCCCCTAGGAGCTAGTGATCATGTGGTTCTGTGCTTTGACTACATAGTTGAGCTTCAAGTGTAGAGAGCAGCAGGAATAGGATGGGAAAAACCAAACTACAAAAGTGAGGACTACTCGGGCATGAGGAACTTCCTGCAAGACATACAGTGGGAGAAAGAACTGCCAGGAAAACCATTACAAGAAATGATGGACTGTGTGACAACAAAATGTAAGGAGGCAGAGGAGAGGTTTGTTCCCAAGGGAAACAAATAATGGGAAGAGCAGAACGAGTCCTTGGTTCACCCAGAGGTGTAGGTAGGCAAAAACTAGGTGTACTAGAGAATGGAAAAGGTACAGAAGACAAAGAATTCAGGAAAATAAAGAGATTAGCCGAAGAGCCAGAAACGAATGTGCACAGATAAGAAGGGAGGCTCGGTGACAGTATGAAAATGACATAGCATCGAAAGTCAAGTCTGACCTGAAGCTGTTGTATAGCCACATCAGGAGGAAAACAACAGTCAAGGACCAGGTAATCAGACTGAGGAAGGGTGATAGGGAGTTCGCAAGAAACGACCGAGAGGTATGCGAGGAGCCACAATACGAGATTTAAAGAAGTACAGTGGACCCCTGAGTTTCGGCAGCCTTGACTTTCGTGAAATTCGACCTTCGGCGAATTTTTTTGGCAAAATTTGGCCTCGAGTTTCGTGAAGACTCGTGTTTCGGCGACCGTCTGGTACCCGTCCACCCATCACTGCACACACCAAGCCAGTCTCCCACGCCATTCACGCTCAGTGTGCCATTGTTTACCAACACGTGACCATCACCCCGCGGGTTCATACAATACATTTCATAATAATCCATTGTTTGTGCTTGCAACTGCTAAATAAGTCATCATGGACCCAAGGAAAGCTAGTGCAAGCCCTTTGGTAAATAAAGTGAGTGACGGGGATGTGGAAGAGTTGGTGGAGGACCACAGGGAAGAGCTAACCACTGACGAACTGCAAGAGCTTCAACTGGAACAGCATCAGACCACAGCCGAGGAACTTGCTTCGGAGGAGGAGGAAGAAGGAGTGGATGAGGTGCCTTCTTCGGTGATTAAGGACCTGTGTAGAATGTGGAATGAGTTGCAAAGTTTTGTTGAAAGTATCACCCTGACCATGCTGAAACAAGCCATATCTGCAACATGTACAATGACAGTGTTGTGTCCCACTTCAGGGAAATCTTAAAGAAATGCCAGAAAAAGACCTCTCTGGACAGATATTTTGAAAAATTAATTCATAAGCAGATCTATTCCTACCTCGTCCCCCACAACATACTCAACCCCTGTCAGTTTGGGTTCAGGCCTAATAAAAACATGATGCTATTATACAGATGCTAGAACTAATATACACAGCACTCGAGGAAAAAAGAAGTCCCATTGGGAATCTTCATTGGTCTACGTAAAGCTTTTGATACAGTTGGCACACAAAATTATCACAATATGGTATAAGAGGGCACTCCCTCAACTACCTAAAGTCATACCTTAGCAACAGAAGCCAATATATGTACATGAATGAGCTAACTCTTCCACTCAACCAATTACAGTCGGTGTCCCACAGAGAAGTGTCCTTGGCCCACTTCTTTCTCATTTACATAACCGACCTACCAAATACATCTCAACTATTCAAACCCATGCTATTTGCAGATGACACTACATACGTCTATTCTCACCCAAGCCCAGTCATACTAGCCAATACTGTAAACACTGAATTACAGAAAATATCTACCTGGATGATGATAACTAGCTTACTCTCAGTATTGACAAAACCTATTTTATTCAGTTTGGGAACAGAGCTACAAATGTTCCCCTTAACATAATGATAAATGGATCACCTATCACAAAACTCAGAGGGAAAATTCTTTGGGATCCACCTTGATAATAGCCTCATATTTCAGACACATGTACAACAACTTTCCAAGAAAGTCTCCAAGACCGTAGGCATACTATCGAAGATACGGTACTATGTTCCACAATCAGCTCTCCTTGCCCTGTATCACTCGCTTATTTACCCCTATCTCCTATGGAGTCTGTGCATGGGGCTCAACACCAATAAATCATCTCAGACCATTAATTACCCAGCAAAAGGCTGCAGTCAGAATGATAAATTCCCACTCCAGGCAGCACACACTACCAATATTCAAAAGTCTAAACTTACTCACCTTACAAAACATCCATACTTATTATTGTGCCTACTACATACAAAGAACATTAATCTCGGATGTAAAACCTCCCCTCAAACTTCTTACCAACCTTAACAGAATGCACAACCATAAACCAAGACACAGATCACTCTTTGAAGTTCCCAGTGTCCATCTCACACTTTGTAAAAAC